ATATATGAAATCATAGCTTCCACTACCCAATACTGAGTTATCATTATATGATGTTTATTTTCCTTCCTACTTCTTGGTACTTTTTCGCATTTATAATTATTTTGTGTTTATCCTGTTTTTTTTTTTGCTGTTGGTGACTTTAGATTTATTTTTTTTGTTTGTTTAATACTTCTTATAAATGTTTCATAAAATTAGGTGCAAATATTGTAGATATGTGCTGAAAATTCCACACTGTACCACTAGTACTGTTTCTGGAATAAAGCAAATTATTATTATAAAAATTGATGGATTCAAGTTGGCTGAAGTCAGTGAGTCTATGATTTTGGTATCATTTTGGTTAACTGTACTTGACTGTGATATTATTATTGTTGTTGTTGTCACTTGTTACCCTTCTTGTTGTGAATTATTTTCCTGTGCTGGTGTTGTTCTGACTGTTTTATTACTCGTTTTCCTGGTTTTAAGGCGAGCAACCCACAAGTTCGCTTCTCTCTAAACTATAATTTAATGTAACAATCCCTTTCTCAGGCGTGAGGCTAGCAACCCCACCCTGTAAACAAAGTTGCTACAGAAACTTCAGCACGATGAATCTCCTTGCGCCAAAAGAAAAGTCTGTGTGGGGACATGGAATGTCCTCACCATGTACGAGATTGGCAAAGCTGCCCAGATCGCAAACGAAATGAAAAGATACGGAGTTGAAGTACTGGGGATATGTGAAAGCAGATGGAACGGGAATGGACTCACCAAATTGTCAACGGGTGAGTCAGTGATCTACTCCGGTCATGGAATGTATAGATACTGGATAAGGATGCGAAATCAATAGGATTAATAATATTACCAGGCAGTTAAAACATTACATAAGAGGACGGGAAGTTTGAGAAGATAGAATTTAACATTGCAGAAGAGGATGTCATACGAAGAGGAAATGAAAGCATGTGGGCCTATTTGGGGCCAGGTGAAAACGTTGGCAGAGAACTGAACGCAATGGAGACGTGCGGCTGAAGACCTATGTTCCTCAAAGAACTAAAGGAAAGAAATAATATGTGCAACTGAAATAATACCGACAACTGTTCTAAGTAGTAACATAGATTAAATAAACAAAACGAAAAATAAATAAATGAATGTTTATCCCTCTACAACCAAAGCATAGTTAGGGATTGTACATGCCTCATTTACACACACAAAGGTCTGACTTGACTTTTTATGAATAGCTAGAGCCTCCGCTACATTTAGAAGTTTTGAAGCAAATAAGAAGGTGGCAAGTTAACATAAATTCGATGGATGTTCTTAATATCATGGTCAGGTAGAGATGAATGATAGAAGTCTATACAGTGATTTAGAATATAGTCTCGTATGCCCTTTCTTTCTTTCTCTCTTGTGAAATTTAGCCATAATGTGTTCTAGTATCGTTTATTTTTGCTTCATATCAAACTATGCCCATAAATTCGTTGAAAAGAGCCTCATTTGTGAATTCTGTGTTCTTAATAATAAACGTAATGATAAAGGTCATGAAATCAATAGACATCCTAAACAAAGATTCGTCCGAACGCCTCGCTGAGTTTTCCGTTGTGAATCACCTGATTCGTTGCATTGTCATACAGCTGTTGAATGAGGTGATAAAGACTTAGGCACTGCACGCCGTAGTGTTGAATTAGTCTCCAAATTACTTCTCGGTTAACACCGTCTGTCGAAGGCCTTTTCGAAGTCAGTGGAGCTGTTGAGGTATAGGTGTGACTGCCTTTCTATGCTTTGCTTGAAGATGATGCGTGGAGTTGCAGTGCGTTTTTAGGATCATGATTTGCCTTTCCTCGATCCAGCTTCTTGTGTGCTGGCGGAGATCTGCATCCAGTGCATCTTTTATACTTTGCAGAATCATGCGACTTAGTAACTTAATTAGCGTGAAAAAGAGCATTATTCTGTGCCAGTTCTTGCAGAGATCTAAGTCGCCCTTCTTTGGTAGCTTGACTTGGTAGCCTTTCTTCCAATTGGTAGGCACCTTTCCTTCTTTCCAAACCTTTTGCAATAATCGCGTAAGCACATCTGCTGTAGTCTCGGTGACTCTTTTCAGTGCTTTAGGGGAATTCCGTCTGACCCCGATGCTTTCCTGGCTGGCATTCAACGGCTAGATAGCATTCAGGATTTCTGTTTTCGTCAGAGAATCAGTGTCCACTGGCGAGCAGTTCTGTGCACGCTGCCAGTGATAGTAGTATTTCTGGGCAAGTTGCAGGTGATGGTCGATTCAAGAGTCCTTTGAATTGGTCAGTCGATTGTTTTATTTATTTCTCTTCCTTGATGATTAGGTTTGCTTGAGCATCTTTTATTGGTTTCGTCATCTGGGTTGATCTGCCCGGATATAAATCTGTTTATCTGATATAATTTCCTGAGTACGCTTCTGTATGTGGCCTGCCTGTTCTGCTTCAGTTGCCGGCCAGTGTGTCGTTGAATTATCTTTTGTCTTTCCTATCAGTATTCTTCACTTCTCTCTGTATTCAGTGCAGTGTACATTAAACTCAGCTTCTCCTTCTGTCGCTCATCTATGCATTGACTCATCTTCTGTCTCACCATCCTCATCTCCTCTCTTCTATTAGCTTTCAAGTAGGTTTCCTTTTTGAGCCATTCTTTGTCTTGTCTCTTCTTTCCTCCTAGGACAGTTGTACCCGTTTGCTTGAATATTGTTTTCAGATGTCCAATGTTCTTCCATACAGGTTTCTTCAGTGATGCCACGTAGTGTGTCCGACTTTGCTCTGATGTGATCTGTAGCGAAGACATCCGTTGTAGTTTTATCCTTCAGTTTCTGTTTGTTAAACTTGAATCGTGGTCTCTCGCCATTTGTTTTCATGGATTTCAGGTTCACCTTGAAGGTTCCTTGAACTAGATGATGGTCTGAGCCCACATCTGCTCCTCTTGTTGAATTTGTGTCCAGTAAGCTGTACTTGAAACTGAGATAAAATCTATCTGTGTTCATCAGGCAAAACCCATGTCTCTGGCCTTGTGTATATCCTTGTTCTTGTACACACTACCTCCAATCACCAGACCACTGAAAACACAGATGTCTGTGAATAATTCCCCGTTCTTATTGATTTTTCCGAGCCAGAGTCTCTCGACCCATGATGAGTTCTATTCTTGTATTATCTACTCCCAGTTCAGGAGGCATTCACATAGCCCACAGGGATTTTAATGCTAACATTTGTGATGCTGTCCATTATTGTTTGTAGTTGTCTATAAAAATCTTCCTTCTTCTCTTGTTCCGCATTTTTTGTAGCATTGTGCTTAGCATTGGATAATTGTTACCCTTCCATCCTTTGGAGTTGAATCTTGATCCTGAGGGATGAAATTGGTCCTCACTACATTAGGGCTTTGGCCAATCACTCCCTCAGTGTGCTGGTGGTTGTCACATGGGTGACCAGATGGGCGTAGATTGCTGACTCTCCAGTTGACAATTTTGATAATCCTCAACCACCCCATCTGCTTTCGCAGATACCCATTACTTCTAAGCGATATACTCGCATTTCTTTGGCTACTTGAGCAGCCTTCCCAGTCTCGTGCATTGTACGTACACTCCATGTTTTTATTCTTATTCTTCCTTTCATTGAGAGAAGACACGTAGGCTGGTTTCCCAAAGGCTTTCACTAGGTCGCTGTACCATTTTGCCTCTCTTATTCCAGCGAAGAATAAGATTATTATTGGAATTTCTTGTATTTTGAATATCATTTTTGTTCATTGAAGTTTCTCTAGCAGCTTGATAGCTTTCCTGGTGTAGGGATGCTAACCCCACGCGCTACCCTCCCTCTTTAACCGGGCTTGGGACTGGTTAGAAGACTAGCGAGCTAGTTACCTGGGCGAGGTTAAAATCCAAAAAGTAGTTTGAAAATTTGAACAGCCTTATTAGCGGGGTATAGTTACGAACGTCTTTGTCAAAAGTACTTTTCTTTTGTTCCACTAATCATGGTCTGTCGTGATAATCTTTCAATTACAATTCAAACTGTAAATGTAATGGCTATTCTTCTGTCTGCTAGTCAGAAAAACAATCAATGAGATTCCACGACACTTCCAACACCTATTCTGCATAAGATCTGAAAATATTTACATTATTGTGATATTTTATTTTTGGCGCCATTTTTGCTTTTTAACCCAGTACTCAATCAGACAAATTCGTTCAGTGTTACGATTTCAAAATTCAATAATTCGAAAAAGAGGGACTGCGACTTTAAAATCGGAATGATATTTAAACGTTTGTCCACAAATATAAATACAAGATGCAATAATGTTTACTCATGTTGAGAACAATATGTTACAAACAGTAAAAAACAAAAAGCGAAATAGATTAAAAAGGCGAAGAGGCAGATAAATCACAAATCATAAATCACGATAACTGATTAAAAACGAAACAAGCAAAAGTATCAGTAATTGAGCGAATTGAAAACAATTGAACAAAGCCAAACATTTGAGAGAGAGAGAGAAATTTTCACCGCCTAATTCAAATTCCTCTTCCTTATTTAATCAAATAAAGATTGTATACATTCCCGGGATCAAATTTTCAAATCAGCTGTTAAAATTTTAATTTAGTTTTCCATATTTTTAAGAAAAATATTGATAAATCGTGAGTAAAATTCAAAAATGGAATTATTTATGTAAATAAAAAAAAGCATTTACTAAACATTACTAATACTTGATGTTCGCTGATAGATAGTCGGCTTATCACTATGATTATCATTATCATTAATATTATTATCAAAAGTGGATGAGTTGATGATTGAAACACTTGGTAATTGTTCAGATTGTAGACTAGATGGTTGATGATATGGTGTTGTATCATTGAAATTATTTGTGAATGTACTCAATGTTGATGGAGATTGTGGTCTTTGTTTTTTATCGATTAGTTGAGTGCATTCATTTAGTAATTGGTATGGTGAAGCATCGAATGTTGTTGGCCGTAGAGGCGGTAGTTGGGGGGCGGGGCATCTTCGTCGAATGGATCTACAATTGTCTCTGTTATTGATATTTTATTTATCGTTTTCATCTGCCCTTCCTATAACTCTTGCATATTCCTCTTGTTTAATATCATCTGGTAGGAATGGAGTTGCGTATATGGCTGTACCAGCATATTTACCTAGGGGATCAAATTCATCATATTCATCTTCAAGTGGACTTGGCCCAAGATATTTTGAATGAAGAGCATTAGGTGGTTTGACAGTAGTTGGTGGAACATTCCAAGTACTATTCAACGAATATGGATTCAATGGGCTTGGACGACTATAATTTGATTGGGCTGAATTTCTAGGATTGGGATAGTATACAATGGCTGCAGGTTTGATATTCAGTTTGGCTATACGTCTGTTTCGGCAAAACAAAAGTGTTAAATCACGACAAAAAGGTTAAATATAAGTCAAAAATACAATCTGTGCAATGATTTCCATGTGAATACGCGCATATATGATAGCATTATTAGTGCTAAATCAGACTCAAATTATTTCAAATTATTTTATTGTCTCTAGTGAGACAAGGGTGCTTGTTATCACCAATGATAAACCTAATTGTGGTGGACTGGATTATGCGTCAGACAGTGGGAAACGAGAAGACACGGATATCCAGGACCGACGTGAAGAACCTAGAAGACCTGGATTTCGCGCGTGGATGATTTATGTTTGATGTCACACAAAATCGAAGACTTACAAGCGAAAACCGACAAACTGGTCGAAGAAGGAGACAGAGAAGACAGGGCTCCAGGTGAACACAGACAAGACGGAGGTTATGAAATTAACCAACCAACAACAACAACAACAGCAGCAGAAACATCCAGCGCCAATCAATATCAACGGGATGGATTTGAAAGAGCTAACTTCATTCACTTATCTAGGGAGCATCAATCGTCTCAACTACAGGAGGAAGAGGAACGGACGTGGATGTCAAATCGAGAATCGGGAAGGCGAGAAACACATTCATCAACCTGAAACCAATCTGGAAATCTTCCGCTGTCACTCAACTCAGCCAGCATCAACAACAAAATTCGGATTTTCAATACAAACGTCAATCAAGTCAGTCACTCCTTCCATACGGATGGATCAGAAAGTTAGCGGCTGGTCACAAAGAATGAGTATTTCCAACAGCCTGTTGCAGAACTTTATCAACAACTAACTGTCTTCACTGGCTCTATACTGAAGATCAGATGGCCGGAAAGAACAAGAACCAACAAGAAACCGACTATGGGAAGAAACAAAACAAGAAGCAATCGCCCAACAAATATGCAGGAGAAAGTGGAGATGGATTGGACACTCACTGGCTGAGGAGGCCACTCGTTGGATGACATCGCGCGTCAGGCCAGTGCTCGAGTGGAACCCGAAAGGGAAACGGTGAGTTGGTCGTCAGTGCAAGAGTGACATGGAGGAGATCGTGTGAAGAGGAATCGAAACAGTTTGGACTAACGTGGATGCAAGTGAAAAGTACAGCGGAAGGAAGACAGAAGCAAGTGGAGACGTGTAGTTGAAGCCCTATGTTCCACTAGGAACACAAATGAACAATATTAATAACAATAATAATAGTGAGACCGTTGAGTTGGGCCCGAATGAGGAACAACGTGTTGGGCATGATTCTGAAGATGACTATAGAAGAAATTATGTCAAGGGGGCAATGGCTGGTAGACAGTCGTGGAGCCAGAGAAATTTGATTGCAGAGAACAGAATGAAATGGTTGTGTGTGCTGCTGACACCGTATGTTCTACTCGGAACCCAAGGTAGTAATATCAATAATAAAAATGATAATAACAATATTTCACTGTACTTGTTTAAATTTATGCCTATCACAATGTAGTAATAAATGTTGTCTGGCTTATTTTCTGTGTTTATCGACTTTGAACCACTTAAAGACACACTCACTTACTGAAATACTGGTAAATTCAACCGAGGTGTAATAAAAAGAAGGGAAACTGTGTCGTGGATTCCAGTATTAGCCATCGTCAATAGCGATTGTGAATTTTAGCCTAATATGATAAAGAGGTTTACCATAACAATTTCCATAAACAATAAGTTTCAAGAGTTGATTTGCAAGAATTTAACTAAATTCAAGTTAGGCAACACTTTGACATCAGTTGGAGAACAAATAAACACCTTGAAGTGCAACACATAAGCTGGATGGAATGCATAAACCTATGTCTAACAACGTACTTCCAATTCAACGGCCAAATATATGAACAAGTCAGAGGAACACCGATGGGATCGCCAATATCAGGTTTGATTGCAGAAGCAGTGATGCAAAGGCTCAAAAACACAATTCTATCAAAGATCAAACCCAAGATTTGGATACGTTACGTAGATGACACATTTGTAATTATCAAAAGAAACGAGCTAGATAAAGCTCACAACCTGATAAACAACGTCTTCAACGACATCAAATTCACAAGAAAAGAGGAATCACAGAACCAAATTCCATTTTTGACGTCTTAGTCAAGCGAACAACCACAGGGGAATTAGAAACTCAAGTCTATAGAAAATCAACTCAAAAAGACCAAATCCTGAATTACAACAGCAACGATCCAATAACACACAAGAAGAATTGCATACAAACACTATTCAAGAGGGCCAGGACTCATTGCGGCACTCCCACCTTAAGAAAAATTGAAGAAAGATATCTCATGGACGTCTTCCAAAAGAATGGGTATCCACGGAATTTCATCAAAAGACATATACCCCCAAGCCAACCTATCAAACCAAAAGCCCCCAAGGAAAGCACAAAGAAAATCTCCTTACCATATATAAAGGATATCTCAGAAATCACTACAAGACTCTTCAAACCTTTAGGAATTGATATCGTACACAAACCAACAAAGTCACTTCACTCAATTCTATGTCAACCAAAAGACTCAATAGCAAAAGAAGATAAAACCAAAATCATCTACAAAATAAATTGTATCAACTGCGAAAAACACTACATTGGCCAAAGTGGACGTTCCCTTCGTCTTCGTATCCACGAACATAAGCTAGCCATCAAAAGACATGACATCCACTCCCTCATATCACTACATACAGACGACCACGGGCATCAACTCGATTGGGACAACGTTCAAATACTAGACAGAGGAAACAACAAAAATGCTAGAGAATTTTTAGAAGCTTGTCATTCCAGTGAATCATCAATCAATAGACACATCGAGATTGACAAAATTTATCAACCGATAAGAAAGAAACCTAACACACAAAGGGTCAAAGTTCAAGTCAAAGAAACAATGAGTGACAATACAAGTAGCCTAGAAGGTGTGAAAACACACAAAAACAACCAATCACGTCCAAGGTCACCAGGAGAGATGAATAATAAACTCGTGGAGAAATCTAAAAGCTCACTTCAAATTGAAGTATGCGCTGAAGATGTCACCCAGTAGGGTGATGAAAGCTTCGCAAATTAACTATCCAGCTCAGAGAACACAACCACATCAAAAACACCTTGGAGTACTGATCAGTTGTTTCATCCCACTGTGTTACCGGGGACCAAACCTAAGACCCTCAAGTTACGACGCCAGCCAGCTTATCATTCAGCCACTGGGACTTAAATCCAATAGACCATGAACTCTGACTTTTGTCTATTAGAGAAAGTAAAGCATCACCATCAGCCAACGTCACAGCCGTGTATTTTTTTTCTTACATTCAATCTAGTGAACTCCACTGGTTCAATCACTGTTGGCGAAGTGTGTACACACTGCTCATAAGTCACAGACTGGGACGATACAGCTATCTAGTACACTGTAGTTTCCATCTGCTATCCACCTCATACTGTTAGAATTACTATTTAAGTAGGACGGTGTGTGCTATTCCAGGATGACGAATTGAATGCGGATGTTTTCTGTAAGAGTAATATTGATGTAGGTTTGAGGAAAGGAGTTCAAATCACAGAATGTCTGAAACCTTGAAATTGTCGATTGAGACCATCTCCCAGGTTTGCACTATCATGATCACATTTATTCTGTCAAGGTATGCATGTGCTTCACGTGTACATTGGTGATTCAGTGGCAGAATACTCACCGAACACGGTGAACGTGGTCCGTGTCGACGCACTCCTAAACTTTGTTTAACCTGTAGTAAGAACTATAAACATTGAAGGCTGGGAATAAAGCTAACAGCTGAAACCTGTACAAAGAAATACCACCTCTATTGAAATTTCAGAGAGTATACAAGCTAGAAGCCCTATGTCGAACTAAAAACGAAAGAGAATAAAATGATAATAATAATATATTCAAGTATTGGTTTGTAGGGATTTGGTTGATTGGTTACAGGATTTCATCATGAGCTGACATTGGTTAGAGAACCATTGGAAAACCAGCTGGGAGTACTGGACAGCTGTTTCGTCCTAGTTTGGGACTCATGATGAAATCCTGTAACCAATCAACCAAATCCCTACAAACCAATACTTGAATATCAATGAGATGCTCACTGGTGACTGGCCCTATTCAGGTAGGTAGTTACCTGGGGTTCCAGTGGTAAGCCGTGACCAGTAGGGTGCAGCAGGTCGGGTGTGAGGACAAGTACTCGCCACCGAAGACACTGGCTAGCGGTTGCGATATATCGTGAATTGGCAGAAGTTAGAATTCGCGGGCCATTGGCTTAATGGTATACGAGCTCGCTTTATAACCAGAAGGTCCTGGGTTCGAACTGCAGTGACGGGTGCATACTGATGAAGAGTCCCAAACTAGGACGAAACAAATGTCCAGTACTCCCAGGTTTTCCAATGGTTCTCTAACTAATGTCAGCTCGTGATGAAATCCTGTAACCAATAATATTATACTTTCTACAGGAAAATGAAGTTCACCAGTAGAAGCGTATGAATATGCATCTTCACACTTACTTTTTGCTGACGCATTTCCAGACAATACCGACTGTTAATATTGTGATGAGAATAACGCCTGTAGCTATTAGTGTGAGTAATATCCAGTTGGTTTTCTGATGCAGAAGAAGAAGAGAAAAGAAAAATCAGCATTAGTAATAAAGCATCAATAACTTTGAGTAAAAAAATATCCTCAATAATTTAGCTTATACTGATAACTGACTAGTTGAGTGACTGACTTATTAACGTAGTAGGTAATATCACGTGCGTCGATGGAACAGCGGTTAGGATGCTCATCAACCATGCACATGGTTCGGGGTTCGATCCCCGGCCGCCAACGCACTTCTTTACCTCGGTAAGCCAGTAATAAGACTGGTAAAGAGGAAAGGTTGGGCATGAGGCTAGCGACCCCATCCTGTAAAAATGAACACTGCTACAGAAACTTCAAGCCTCTAGCTTGAAGCCCTATGTTCCACTGGGGAACGTGAAGGATAAAAAAAGGTAATATTAGCCTTTGATGCGTATGTCTGTCACAGTACCAAAGACAGACAGGTAGACAGATAAACATAAGTGTAGCTGGGAGTAAGAAACAATAGACTTGTCATCTCAACTTACATCCTTTTGTGACAGGAATTAAAGGAAAACAGTTGAAAAGTTTTACACTGTCGAGTGGATTCTCTTAATGAGAGTACATATGACATGTGAATTCCGAGAAGAGTAAAGCAACACGTGCATTCCTGTGTCCCGATTGGCATTATTAAATTGAAAAAAGGGATTAGATTCTTCTGTGGTAAGTATTGTGGAAGAAATAATGCACGTCCAGGTGGATGATATTGGTGTAATTATATTCTCTAATATGAGTGGTGTACTTGCGAAGCTTTCGTTATTCTTACTTAGACAATATCTTCAGTGAAGACTTCTACATGAAGTGACGGTTTGGGATTTGCTATGCGTTTATGAGCAGTGGTTTTGAATGTGACTGATTGTTTGCGGGGATTTTTCAACGCTCTTTTCCCCTTGTATTCGCATCGGTTATTCCGTTAAACTGATGGTTGATCTTATGTCCAAGCGACTGCCTTTCTTACTGTTTGATAAATCTTATCCATGGTGATGTGTTCATTGATCACAAGAAGAACTGCGACATTTTCGGGAATCCCTTCAGTCCATATTGAGATCTTTTCTGAGGATGTTGTCAATGAAGACAATAAAAGCCCCACAAATAAATTATTCACTCGATCAAGTATAGCTATGTCAATACTTCGCACTTTTAAGGAAGTTAACAAAAGAACAGGCGTTGGTTTTCAGCAACTGTTTTTAAGTTCTCAAAGAAGAGTCTGTGTGAATCATGTGATAAGTTGTCTGTCAAGTATGGGACGCTATTTATCTTACAACTACAATTACTAGGTGAGATTACTGTCTCAAAAAGTAAAATTGTAGCTGTAGTTGCTCAGTCACACCATGTATTATGAGTGGCTATGCAGTGAAACAATTTCTCCGGACAAGAACTTCTGTATTATATTATTACTATTGTTCCCTCGGGTTCCTAATGAAACATAGGGCTTCAACTGCACGTCTCCACTTCTGCTTCTGTCTTCTGCTGTACTTTTCACCAGCGTCCATGTTAGTCCATGCTGTTTCAACTCCTCTTCACACGATCTCCTACATGTCACCCTTCGACGTCCCACTCGCCGCTTCCCTTTCCAGTTACACTCGAGCGTTGGCTCGACAAGCGATGTCACCCAGCGAGTGGCCTCCTCAGCCAGTGAGTGTCCAATCCATCTCACCTTACTCCTGCATATTTGTTGGGCGATTGGTTCTTGTTTTGTTTGTTCCCATAGTTTGTTTCTTGTTGGTTCTTGTTCTTTCCGGCGGCCATCTGATCTTGAGTATAGAGCCAGTGAAGACAGTTAGTTGTTGACAAAAGTGTGCAACAGGCTGTTGGAAATATTCTTTGTGACACACTGGCCAACTTTCTGATCCATCTGTATAGAAGAAGTGACTGACTTGACTGACGTTTGTATTGAAAATCCGAATTTTGTTGTTGATGCTGAGTTGAGGAGTGACGAAGATTTCCAGATTGGTTTGAGGTTGATGAATGTGTTTCTCGCCTTCCCAATTCTCGATTTGACATCCCTAGATAAGTGAGTAAAGTAACCTCTTTCATTAAATCCCTCCCGTTGATGGTGATTGGCTTAATTTGCTTCATATATGTATTTTTTCTCCTCCCCTTATTGTTTATTGTAATCTTCCTTATATCTGGTATAGATGTTACATCATTTTAAATGAGCGTGTTCGGTGTGGATTCGGTGATTAATCTGTCACTCTAACCAGCTGCCTATATTACTTTTTAATATCTTACACTTTTTCTAGCTTCACTTATTTAACCTAGCAGGATCAGCCATTAGAACTAGAACTAAATTTCTATGTTCCCACAGTCTAATTCACCTGGATCTACTAGTTTGACCTCACAGTCATTACATGGTATTTAGAAGATTACCTTGTTTTTCTCAGTTGGATATATCGCGTCCTTAATTCGGCAAAGTTTATGTGTGGTTGGGTTAGATTCCACCATAATTCCAGCGCCATTAAAAATCTTACATAGGGCTGAGTAAGGTTGCTTTCGAAATACCGAAGCTTCCTTATCAAGTGGAAAGAATAATATGAATAATATGAAATGTCACTCGACAACAACAGCACTTGATAGTCAGTTAAACCTACAATATGAGGGTTGGCAATATTAACCAGTTACGAGGTCTGAACTCGTGACCTTCTAACTGAAAATTTGAATACTTCATTCAATGCGCCAAAGAGACAATCAAACAATAAAGCTTATTCAAATATAAAAAGTGAAAAATATTAATACTCATTTACTTCTTACACTTACCCACGACTCCAACTCCACAGACAACTCACATCTATCACCAGTCCATTCAGGTAAGCATAGACAACTAACTTCAAATTTTGTTGAATGCTCATAACATGTTCCACCATTTAAACAAACTGACGGCAATTCTGTGTTATTAACATCATATTCGGTTGCAAAATTATCATAATTTTGAAGTTTTAAGGCTTCTTCCAGACACGCTGACCGTCTCTCAGTACATCGATGTCCAGTCCATTGTTCCGTACACTGACATGTGAAACTTTTATTATAGTGTCCGCTAAGTTGACATTCACCGCCATTTTGGCAAGGATTTGACTGACACGGATTACGATCTGGATAACATTCTGATTCTGTTAAAATAAAAGGTAATTAATTTCAAAGCAACAACTATGAGTTAGTATGAAGGTCATTGAATAAATTAGAATGGGGAATTAAAGTAACCTCTGAAAACCTATTCATATATGAGTGAAACAAATTTTCTTATGAGTCAAGTTATTATTATTATTTTTTCCTTTAATTCCTAGAGGAACATAGGGACTCAGCCGTGCGTCTCCATTGCGTTCGGTTCTCTGCTACAGTTTTCACCTGGCTCCAGGTCTGTCCACACGTTTTCATCTTCTCTCCACATGACCTCCTCCAAGTCACCCACCCTCACACTGACCACCAACTCGCCGATTCCAATACAGTCGGGTTCCACTCGAGCCACGGCCTGTCATGTGATGTCACCCACTTGATGGTTTGTTTCCTCAGAGTATGGCCAGCCAATCCATCTCCATTTCTTCCTCCCTGCCTATTTCTTTCACAATCGCTTCCTGCTGAGTTGGTTCGCTCATTGCCAGAGATCCCTCTCTGTTGCTGATCTCTTCTGGCCAGCCGGCCATCTGATCTTGAGTGGTATTGAGCGAAGACAACTGTTAATGAAGGTCTGTAGATTGTTTGAGGTACTCTTTATGACACGCAGTGGAAGTCTCTGATCCGTATACTAGCACTGAATTCAAGTACTGGGGATATGTGAAAGCAGGTGGAATGGGAATGGACTCACCAAATTGTCAACAGGTGAGTCAGTGATCTACTCCGGTCACCCAGAAGATAACCAGATGCACACCGAGGGCGTGGCTATCATGATGTCACCAACGGCAACGAAGGCCCTGATGCAATGGGAGGCGATCTAGCCCAGGATAATGACCGCCAGATTCAACTCCAAAGGAAGGAAAGTGTCAATTATACAATGCTATGCACCGACAAACATCACAAACCTCGAAAAGAAAGAAGAATTCTACAGACAACTACAGGCAACAATGGACAGTACTCCAGTCGGCGACATTAAAATACTAATGGGGGACATGAACGCCAAACTGGGATCAGACAACACAGGAAGGGAAGTCATCATGGGTAGAGAAGCTCTCAGAAAAATGAATGAAGACGGAGAACTCTTCGCCGACTTCTGCGCCTTCAATGAACTGAAGATTGGTGGCAGCGTATACAAACAATGAGTCAAGTTAGCTTCCGGAGTTTTACTAAGTTATTTTTCCCTTCAAAAAATATGGTCAATATACATGAATTCGTCAGTCACAGACATGTCATATCTGCAAAGAGGACTTATAATTGTCAAGAGGGTGATGCAAACAGAACAGAAAACGAACAATAGAGGCTGTAAAGCTAATTCTGTTTTCACTGTGAACTCAATTTATGCGTATATGAATACACTTATATACATGCAAGGACACAGTTTGCATCAAAATGCACTTGATGTTGTAATGTGTCCTCCAAGGCAGATAGTTTAATTTTGAAGGATTCATTGCCCTTCTTGACAACGTCTTCAGTGCAGACTTCAGTATGAATTGTAATAATTTAATTCTCTATGTGAATGGTCTAATTGTACCTCTGACAACCTCTATCGTGACTGCTTGTTAATTTGTATCAGTACTGATCGTTTTGATTGGACACTAGTAACTAGTGTGGCGTATCTAGTCCTTCTTTGGTGCAGACTGAATTCTACCAATCGGGTATTTGCAATGTGGCCACCATTCTAGGTAGCTTGCCATCACGAGCAAGCCCAAATAGCTCAGTGGTAACGTCTCTGACTGTAGCACTGGGTGACGCGGGTTCGAATCTCAGAAGGGACATGAGTTCCCCCTAGGTTGCAGATACGCCTTGCTAACGAGTGCCAACTAGCACGAAACCTAGGTCCAAGGCTTCCTGTGGCCGATTGCCTCCAACTATCTAATACTGATCGTTTTTATTGACTTGGAGTTAGAATCTTTTATCATGTGTCTTATTCTTCATTAGTTCACAAATTAGATCTATAGTAATGTGTCTGTTAATACCTGATTCATCTGAATACCAAGCCTCAGGAAATTCAATGACATTTTTACTATTGCCATTGTTCAAAATTTTTCACACATTTCCAGTTGAATAGATGTCCACAGTCGTATAGGCATGAAAGAATACATAACGGGCATTTTAACAGCTAGTTCATACTCTTCGATTCGGAGTCAAATGAGATCACCTACTTCTATCCATAAAGTGCTTACCGCAGTTCATGGAATTTATTCTGTAAATAGTATTGATTTTGCCTGATTTCGCTTTTGGGTCTTTTATTGTGAATGGTACTGAATGAAGGATGAATGACATGAAGAATCTAGAAGACCTGGATTTCGCGCTCGGATGATTTATGTTTGATGTCACACAAAATCGAAGACTTACAAGCGAAAACCGACAAACTGGTCGAAGAAACAGCAAAGACAGGACTGACTCCAGGTGAACATAGACAAGACGGAGGTTATGAAAATAACCAACCAACCAACAACAACAACAGCAGCAGCAACATCCACCACCAATCACCATCAACGGGAGGGATTTGAAAGAGGTTACTTCATTCACTCACTTATCTAGGGAGCATTGTCTCAACTACAGGCAGGTGGAACGGACGAGGATGTCAAATCGAGAATCGGGAAGGCGAGAAACACATTCATCAACCTGAAACCAATCTGGAAATCTTCCACTGTCACTCCTCAACATCAACAACAAAATTCAGATTTTCAATACAAACGTCAAGTCAGTCACTTCTTCTATACGGATTGATCAGAAACTTAGCGGCGGGTCACAAAGAATGAGTATTTCCAACAGCCTGTTGCAGATCTTTGTCAACAACTAACTGTCTTCGCTGGCTCTATACTCAAGATCAGATGGCTGGAAAGAATCACCAACAATAAACTATGGGAAGAAGTAAAACAAGAAGCAATGGCTCAACAAATATGCAGGAGAAAGTGGAGATGGATTGGACACTCACTGGCTGAGGAGGCCACTCGCTGGGTGACATCGCGCGTCAAGCCGTAGCTTGAGTGGAACCCGAAATGGAAGCGACGAGTGGGACGTCAGTTGAAGGGTGACATGTAGGAGATCGTGTGAAGGGGATTTGAAGCAGTATGGACTAACATGGATGCAGGTGAAAAGTACGGCAGAAGACAGAAACAAGTGGAGGCATGCAGTTGAAGCCCTATGTTCCACTAGGAACCCAAGGGAACATTAATAATAATAATAACTGAATGAAGTGGTTTTTTGATTTGTGGGCAGTATATATATTCCGAATAGTTTCAGTATTCCAGCCGTTACTTCATAAATATTTTTTTATATGTGGTAAGGTGAATTTTCCATTTAACTTATCCGATTTCTTAATAGTTTGGATCAATTACATTGGTATTTGTAGAAACTGAACTGCCCGATCCGGAATAATAAATCCATTCGATCATGAATTATTGTTGATCTCAATATGGATATAGACACGGACTAATACAGTAGTCAGAGAAGTGTAGAAAACCATGGAACATTAGACAAATTTGTTGTCTCAGTGTGGAACCCTTCAACTCAGTGTGCACTTCCAACTCCATCAGAGGTCGAGTGCAGGACATTTAACTCGTGAGCCCCCGCTTCAGTTACTATAAATCAGTGAATTATCACTATTGACAACCAATGTTTTCAGCAAGCGGCGATCTTCACACACAACATTGTGATCAAATGTATTCACAATCTCTTATTATTTTTCCCTTGGGTTCCTAGTGGAATATAGGACTTCAACTGCATGCCTCCAGTTGTTTCTGTCTTCTGCCGTACTTTTCACCTGCATCCATGTTAGTCCGTACTGCTTCAAATGCTCTTCACACGATCTACTCCATGTCACCCTTCCACTGACGTCCCACCCGTCGCTTCTCTTTCGGGTTCCACTCAAGCTACGGCTTGACGCGCGATGTCACCCAGCGAGTGGCCTCCTCAGCCAGTGAGTGTCCAATCCATCTCACCTTTCTCCTGCATATTTGTTGAGCGATTGGTTCTTGTTTTGTTTGTTTCTTCCCATAGTTTGTTTCTTGTTGGTTCTTGTTCTTTCCGGCGGCCATCTGATCTTGAGTATAGAGCCAGCGAAGACAGTTAGTTGTTGACAAAGATCTGCAACAGGCTGTTGGAAATACTCATTCTTTGTGACCCGCCGGCAACTTTCTGATCCATCCGTATAGAAGGATTGACTGACTTGACTGACGTTTGTATTGAAAATCTGAATTTTGTTGTTGATGTTGAGGAGTGACAGCGGAAGATTTCCAGATTGGATTGGTTTGAGGTTGATGAATGTGTTTCTCGCCTTCCCGATTCTCGAATTGACACCCTCACAGAAAATCGAAGACTTAAAAGCGAAAACGGACAAACTGGTCGAAGAAGCAGCAAAAACAGGACTCCAGGTGAACATAGACAAGACGGAGGCTATGAAAATAACCAACCAACAACAACAACAGCAGCAGCAACATCCACCGCCAATCATCATCAACGGGAGCGATTTGAAAGAGGTTACTTGATTCACTTATCTAGGGAGCATTCACAATCTCTGGGAAACCTAAAATGTGATTATTGGTATTCACTGTTTGTTTCAAATTGTCTTTCTGTTGGAAATATCTCCATATTAGCACACAACTTACTCACGTATAACTTTAAACTGATAGCATGCGATTATCATCACACCATCAGCTCAATTCAGTTTTTAACCCTTTTCAAAGTCCATCCTTCCTTCCCTTCCTAATCATACCATTCTTTCTTCAAATATTTTTAAAACAAAAGTACGTTTTGTGATTTAATTTAAACCACATTAATGATTGATCTGTGTATATTTTAACCATATAAACAGAGAGAACAAGAGTGAGGAGTTTTCAGTCTCATTCAGCCACTACGTGTAATTCGCACATTTCCTTTTTTCTATTAGTGAGCACACCTGTTGAAAGTGAATTTATTTCCAAGAATAATGATTATAGATTGGTAAGAGCTTTTCAGTTTTAGCATACAAAATCAGTATGTTGTCAGCCGAACTACTTGAAATCAGTCTGGACTCATATTTCGCCACGAACCACTACCTTGTTTCAAAGAACATTGAAATCGAGGGAGAAGTGAGTAGCCATTTCATCCCACCCTGGGACTTTTCCACAGAGTGCACTTATGACCCCATGACGGGTGGAACCTGTTATCTTCAAACCAGGAGACCAAGTTCGTTGACCGTTCAGTAACTTTGATCACTAATGGAATCGTGTGAGGGTGAACTGCCTCAGAGTCCCAAGTATGGGAGACACAGTGGTTCAGTGTTCCCTGATTTTCAGTGGCCTATCTAACTGATGTTGGCTGGTGACTACATCTACACTGAAATCAATCCAAATCTCTATGAAAGTTTATTATCCATCTCTGCAGATGACTTCGGACGTGACTGGTTACTAGCAGAGGCAGTTGAATTCTGAGAGCACACTTTTTATTGGAATCTTTTTATTGAAGATATTTTCCAGGGAAGGAAAGTGAGTGAGCTTCCCAAATAAATCATTCAGATCAGACAGCACACACATACAGTACCAAGAACATACACCTGAGCTAAATAATTCTTCTCCATTTCTTGTAGATTTGTTGAAGAAAGTGTTTAGTGGGATAATTCTCTTTTATTCTGACCCCCAGACCTAACAAAATGGTTGAACCAGATCACCAGCTAGACTGTAAAAGCAAAGCGAACACAACATTCGTGATTAGTGACATGATTGGTTCCGCCAAACCATCATTCTGAAGGGGACTGGCATACTGTATAACTTTATCCCGTAGATACTGTCGAATAATTTGGGTGGACAGATAGGCCTCATTTGTGAGTGGTTAGAAAGTGAATTTGTTTAGCTTAATTATGTGACCTTGTGGTAGCTGTTATCATGGCTGCCTTCCAAGCAGTCGATCCGGGTTCGACTCCCGGCGGTTGCAAGAGATTTAGTGTCGGTGGTATAGCGACTTAGACGCTTGCCGACCATGCACATGGTCCTGGGTTCGATTCTTGGCCGACGCACTCCGTTACCTCGTTGAGCCAGAAATAATGCTGGTATAGAGGAAAGGTTGGTCATGAGGCTAGCAAACCCACCCTGTAAAATAAACACTGCTACAGAAACTTCAAGCCACTAGCTTGGAGCCCTATGTTCCACTGGGGAACATGGAGGAAAAAAATTATGTTACGATTCTAGCTATTTCATTTAAAACAACTGCTTATTTATTTACTGGCAGTAGGATTTAGTCGCATTATGGATCATGGCACAATCAGGAGTATCTAGATATCAGATGGTTGGAGGCAGTCAACAGGAAGCCTTGGACCTAGGTTTCGCGCTAGTTGGCACTCATCAGCGAGTCGTATCTGCAACCTCGAAGGAACTCATGTCCCTTGTGAGATTCGAACTCGCGTCACCCAGTGCTGCAGTCAGAGACGTTACCACTGAGGTATTCAGGCTGGCGGCTGACCTCTTGAAGGACAGTATTGGATATCTAGGTCACACTGATGGTTATTCTGTCGTTAGACTAACCAGACAAAGGTAAGCAACAGGATATTGTGCCAACTCATAGTACGGGTGCTTTAAAGATATCTGAGTATCAGAATTAATGTCATTTAGAGGAAGATAACTCTCAGTGAGATAAAGGATGCTTATTTTGTCCTAGAACTTAGAACTCGTCACCTGGATGTACCTTCATTCCTCAGTGATACCTCTCTGTGGTTCCAAATTATGCGAGTTAGTTTCAAGTTTCAGTGGGAACACAGTCAATCAGAGCGGGGATGATCAGGTTACTAATCTGAAGAGTCTCAGATAAAGGAAAAATGCGCATCCTGGTTTTCACTGCTTATCACTGTCCACTGAATAAATTTAAATCATATCAAGTGGTTCAACTGGTAGTTAGGTATTCGAAAAAAAAGATGCATACGTATACAGGTAAGTTAACTAATCATTGTGAAAACAACTAACTCACTTTCTTCCCCACCACAAACACAAATACGTCCAGTTCCGTGGTTTTTATTTATACATGTTGCATGATCACCGCATGGTTCATAATAACACGAATCTTCTTTTTCACATTCTTTCCCTCGTCGACCTAAAATGTTATTAAAAGAAAAGTAATTTGTTTAAACGACTGAAAATGTTGGTTCGCTTAAATCAGTAAGCCATAAGATTTTCTATTCAACAGAATCCATTGTGTTTTCTCTAATTTTTATTTGTCTTAAACATTCAACTATGTTCTTCAGTCACAATATCTACTAATGCATGTATTTCATTAACCTTCTCAGGCTAGAGGTGTGTGTATTCCCAAGAGATGAAGGAGTATTATCAAAAGGGATTGATCTGCGCTTCAAGTCGAACATCATCGCATCACCTGATATGCCCTAGTGGACTCTCCCCCTTGCATCTCATGAGGCGAAACCAGAAGCCTATATAGAAAACTATATGCTCGCACCAGCAAGTACAAAATCTCAACCATACTCTACTTAGCTCGTGTTCTGTGCGATCAAGAAAGCATTAGGTGTGACACCTATAATTCATTAAATAGTCAGTAGAACAACTGGATCTCGTCTTTCCAACTCACATCATTTATAGGTACAACACTTTCTTTCTTTCTTTTCCTTTTCTCTCTCTTCTTTTTCCGTTATGTGCTGCTTTGTTTCTTTCTCTCGCTTACGCCAGTAAATATGATAGCACCTACTTTTCTAATAACTTCAAACACTGTTCAACTTTGGCTTTGCTACCGACATGCCAATATGTAGTTGTCATAATGAACTGAGACTACCCTTAATCTATGTAGAATTCTATTTATTGATAATGTACTAACTGGATGCCCTACTGTAGTAAAAATGCTGAGAATTCCATTCTGTAACACAATTACTGTTTTGGAATAAAGCAAATTATTATTATTTCACTTGAAGATCCTGAATAAAGAGAAAATGTTATTTCATAAATTACGCTGAGAGAGAGTTCTACACATTGTGTGAACATTTCGTCCAGGATAAAGCTATGATTATGATTATGAAAAAAAGGTTATTCTTCAAACATAGGATGCAGTATTGCAGAGTTGCATAGAATATTTATTACTCAACAGTTTGAATCAAACTGAATGTTCACACAAAGGTGGATCAATTCAAGTTGATAACGTCTCAAACCAAACCTCCTATTCATATTCACATCAAGACCCTTACGTAAGCTCCAACCTAATGATTAGACCACAGCTACTGACCAGTAGGGTGCAGCAGGTCGGGTGTGAGGACAAATACTCGCCGAAGACATTGGCTAGCGGTTGCGCTATATCGTGAATTGGCAGAAGTTAGAATTCGCGGGCCATTGGATCGGGTCCCAGTGGCTGAATGGTATACGAGCTCACCTTGTAACCAGAAGGTCCTGGGTTCGAATCCCGGTGGGTGTGTACCATTGAAGAGTCCCAAACTAGGGCGAAACAGCTGTCCAGTACTCCCAGGTTTTCCAATGGTTCTCTAACTGATGTCAGCTCATGATGAAAATCCTGTAACCAATCAACCACAGCCCTACAAACCAATACTTGAATACTGACTAAGTACTCTGTTGGATATCTAGTGACTGCAATCAATCCAAATTTTACCAGGCTATTCGAATACAATGAAATAAATCTATCCTAATTTTAGTTCGCTCATAATCCTACTTCTATTTTGGATGAATTTGTTCAAAGTCAGTTTCATAGAACGTCACTTTAAAAAGAGCAACGCGTTGACCACAGCACACACCTTAGACTGATTGATTTCAGTTAACCCTAAGAATCAAATAATTGACGTCGGTTACCTCCCTAATAAATCATCAGTTTATCCAGCATAATCCTATGCGAAGTAGCATGATCTTTAACTTCAAAAGTGACTGATATCTTTTCGAATCCATCAGGTGGAAGCGACACTAGTTACTTCATGGCCTAAAATACATCGGCACTGACAAATTTCATGCCCCTGTTTATGGGACATGGCTACAGTTCAAAAGATGAAGAGTGAGGTTGAACACTGAATCTTAGTTCGCTGAATCTACACCTAACACATGCAATGGATACTGTGCGACGCAAAGACCACCAATAAAATCAAAGGATAAGAAGTGATGGATTTATATAAGTGAATTATGGAGGGTTCGTGAGTATCTGGATATGACTATGAGTAACAAGCTGTGTGGTTTTATCACATAAATGTATTGTATGAAGGAACTACACTCTACCACAGTGCCTACGATCTATCCTTATATTAATGAAAAGAAAAGCAATCAATGAACCCATAAATGAAATTACATGAGTGAATGGATCACGAAATGAAGAATAGGAAAGATTTGGACACTCTGGCAAATTTTATGAAATGAGTGCATCTGCAAGATACAGAACAATTCTCAGCCACGTGAATAACGGCCTCCAGCCACTAGTCCTTAGCGTCTCAACTGTGCATCAGTGGCAGAGCGGTTAGGATTCTCGCCGTCCGGGGTCCGATCCCCTGTCGACGCAAACCCGATATCAATGGTCGGCCTGCGAAATTTGGGCTACCGATATCACATGCTGAAAATTCCATACTTGTACCAAAAATACGGTGTGGAATCAAGCTATAATAAAAAGAACTATCCTAGCTATCCACTAAACAACAAACATCTATTAGTCTTTTCAAGTCATCCAGTGTAATCAGACTTAATTTGACAAAAGGACTACACTAGGTTTATTATTGTCAGTAGTTCGATGATAGAATGCTTGACAGTCATTCGGAAGGTCTAAGTTCAATTTCCCGCCCAACTTATTCTTAAACTTCGCCTACTCTTCTAGCCCGAAGTAAGATCGGAAAAGAGGAGAGGTTGAACGTGAAGCTAGCCAACCCACTCCGTAAAAAAAACCAATAATTCAGCTCTGAAGTAAAGAAATGAAAAAAGAGTTCATTGTTGCCTGATGGTCTACAGGAGTTCATTTTTTAAAATAAAATGTATTTATAGTCAGGTGTGAATGACATTTATTTAGAAAACTTATAATCACTTTTTAAGTCGTGATTTGTGGAGATTCAATTAGTTACTCGTCTGATCAAGAGATGATATCACTTGGAGAACTGCTGGAAAACCACGGAGTACTCGACAGCTACTTCGTACTTGTTGAAGAGCATTCACAGAACGCATCTACCTCAAGGATTCGGATGCAGGGTCGCCTAGCCACTGGAAGTCGATCCAATGGTCCATGAATTCCCACTTCTGTAAATTAGTGATATATACAGCACAAGCGCCAGACAGTGTTACTAGCGAGGAACTGTCCTCTTATCTGACTTGTTGGACCCTGATGGTGACGTAAATCTATCGAGACTTCATCCATCTAGATTATGAAATAGGCACAGTGTACTCTGTGGAGACTTTCTAATTACGATCAATTAATCTAAGTTGAAATCAGTGAAAATAGCATAAAGCCTGACAAATGCAAACTGATCCACTGCTCTCCATTTTGTAACTACGAGATGAAGGTACTACAGTTTCAATGAGAAGCGGTGAAAGTTTTTCGGTCCGAGAAGTTGGATGTCACGACAGATCCTCGTGAATCACATTGTATGTGAGACAGAATTAAATAAGGGAATTGACAGAAGTTTCAATTCATGGATGATTCTTTTTTTTGGTTTGGAGCTGACATCAGTTAGAGAACCATTGGAAAAGCAACTGGAATTCTAGTTTGGGACACTTCAGCAGTACGTATTCACCACGACGGTTCGAAACCAGGACCTTCTGGTTACAATGCCAGATAGCTCGTAGACCATTAAGCCATTGGGACTCGATCCAATGGCCAGCCCATGAATTCTACCTATAGCCAATTCATGACATAGCGCGACCACTTCGCAGTGTCTTCTTCGATGAGTTACTGCCTCATTTTCAGCCTGCTGCACCTCACTGGTCACAGCTTCAAATAGGAACCCCAGGTTAACTGCCTGAATAGGGTCACTCTCCAGGGAACATCAGACTAATTTTCAACTATTGGTTTTGTAAGGATTTTGTTTGATTGGCTAGAGGATAGGGTCCCAGGTTTTCCAATGGTTCTTGAATTGATGTCGGCTCATGATCAAATCCCACAACCGTGCAAACAAAAACCCTCACAAAACCAATACTTGAAGATTATTTATTTTGACTGACTCAGTGGCTAAGCCAACTACCCGAATGAATGTTTGGAAAATCCCTTCTGAACGAACAATTCAGAGTATTTGCACTTATTTATATATTTCAACTAACCTTGTAATTTCATACAATGATTCCCTTTTATAAATTTGAACAAAGAGAGAAGAAACATTGGTGCAGAATAATCTGGATCCATTTTATTTCGTTGGTTCTCATCAGCTGCGTACAACCTTTGTCCATTAGCAAGCATAGTGTCAGAGCGTCATAGTAAAATAAGGCATTGAGATTTACAGGGTGTCTAAAGTGTCACGACATGTATATATATAGATATATATCTTGGTAGAGAGAAGTTTCTTGAAAAAATTAGTTAACAGTTGTGTTCTTTGGGTGGTAACAAAAGACAATCAGCAATAGTTACGTAATCAGATAAGAGAAGATCAAAATTTTTAGAATTACGGTGCACATGAGGTTAAAGGGACCGAATTATTCAAGCTCTTCAATCGCTAAACACCTGATTGACACAGGACACCGAGAAGATGTGCTGGAATTATTCAAAATAATTAACAGACAAAGTACCTGAAGTCTTCTAAGGTTTGCTGAAGCTATAGCAATAAAACGATTTAAGCCTGACTTATGTGTTCAAAAAGAATCCGCTGTTGGACTTCAATTACCCTGATAACTCACGTCTTAGTAACTTTTTGTTTTCTCATTTTGTTAATTTTGTTAACTTATCTTTTCACTCCACCCCTCCCCTTTATGTTTCGTTTGACTCTCTTAAGAGATAATTTTTCATGATCTTCTGAGTTCTGCCCACTGTATTACATCATCAACTTCTCATCTGACCTCATGTGCACCGTAATTCTAAAAATTTTGATCTTCTCTTATCTGATTACGTAACTATTGCTGATTGTCTTTTGTTACCACCCAAAGAACACAACTGTTAACTAATTTTTTCAAGAAACTTCTCTCTACCAAGATATATATCTATATATATACATGTCGTGACACTTTAGACACCCTGTAAATCTCAATGCCTTATTTTACTATGACGCTCTGACACTATGCTTGCTAATGGACAAAGGTTGTACGCAGCTGATGAGAACCAACGAAATAAAATGGATCCAGATTATTCTGCACCAATGTTTCTTCTTTCTTTGTTCAAACTTTGTAATTATTGTCGTCTTTTCCACTAGGCGGGGTATCAATCTACTAACGTTTGCATACCATCTGCTGACCCAGTCCTTATTATTTGCCTCTGTTTTTATTTAATGATTAGTTTAAACATTTTCCTTTGTGGTTGTGTAATGATACTGACATTGTGTTGTTTTACGATTGCGATTTGGTTTGAATTAATTTTAAGTTTATGCCGTGGAGATTTTGAACTTAGAGAGAAGTGTTTGGCCGACGGAACTTGTATCCCACCTAATTAGAATTATTCAACTTGATTTTCGAGTACTTTGCACGCTTGTTTCTAGTTAACTAATGTTTTTGTACAGTACTTGTTTCGAATTCAAATAACTGTCTGAAGCAACCGTCTGGACATTCTGTGACTGTGAGTCATCCGAAGAAGTTTGGTTAGTTATACGTAAGAACACATCGACTGGTTCCCTGCACTTACAGCATAGTAATTTGATTCTGGTGGGTCGGTGGCTTAGCGGTTAGGACACTCGCCGACCATGCACATGGTCCGCGGTTCGATTCCCGGCCATCGACGCACTCCTTTATCTCGCTAAGCCAGAAATAAAGATGGTGAAGAGGAAAGGTTAGGCAACCCCATCCTGTAAAATAAACACTGCTACAGAAACTTCAAGCCACACTAGCTTGAAGCCCTATGTTCCAATGGGGAACATGAAGGAAAAAAAATTTGATTCTAGTCGTTACACAACCTCATCCATTTGTGACGCATATTTTCTCTAAAAATATGGAAACAATAATACCCTTCTACTTACCTGGAGTACAATTAAATGAGCCATCTGAATTCCATGTATATCGAGATGGTTCGGGTTTGCAATAAACTTGACAATGATTACCATAGTAATTCTCTAAACAATTCAGTTTCATTCTCACATTCACACTGAAATTAATTTATAAGAGGATAGATAGGAAAGTGCAGTTAGCAGAAAGAAAAGAAACAAACATAACTGACGATAATATCCAGTTCAAACTGCACTTATATGCAGGAAAACCTAAATAACAGGTGTTGACTCTTAATAGTTTAGAAAATTAGGATTTCCTCACATTTTGGATTCATCAGGCGAATAGATTTAATAATATTTGCAGTTAATGGTGTTCTCTGAGCTGGTTGGTTTAGTTGCTGAGCTTTCGTCGTCCTTCTACACAACATCCCCTTTCAGCGCAATATTTAGCATAAAGTAAATGATTTAAATTCCTTCATGAGTGATATAATTGCGTCTCCTGGTAACCATCTTTACATATGTATTGACCATTTTCTATTGACTTGGATTTGAAACTTTCTGGTCACCTGATTTACTTTTTATTAGTTGGTATATTTCGTCTATATTAACGTGTTTGTTAATTGCATTTTCGCTTGAGTACCAGGCTTCTAGGAATTCCCTGACTGCACTTCTGCTGTTTCCTCTGTCTAAGATTTTGACATTATCCCAATCAAATTGATGACCATAATTGTCTATATGCATTGATACTAAAGAATACATAACGTGTGTTTTCACGACTGATTTGTGTTCTTGGATTCTGATTCGAAAGGGACACCCACTTTGGCCGATGTAATGCTTGTTGCAGTTCATACACGCAATTTATTTTGTAAATGGTAATAATTTCATCTCCTTTTTCTGTTGGATCTTTCGGTTTGCATAATATCGGATTGAGCGATTTTACTGGCTTATGTGCTATATCTATACCAAACTGTTTCAGTATTCTTGCTGTTATTTCAGAGATATTTCTCATGTATGGTAGAATGAATTTTCTTGTGGTCTTTGATGATGGTTCTTTGTTGTTGATTTGAGTCGACTTTAAACATGTTTTGATGAAATTTTGTGGACAACCATTCCTTTTGAAGACCGTTTGTAGGTACTTTTCTTCCATTTTTTCCAACTCTAGAGTGCTGTAATTTCTGCACATAGTTTCGTTTGTGAGTAACTGGATTATTGCCAGTATAGTTGAGTATTTGATCTGTGTGCGTTGATTTTCTATATACTTGTATTTCTAAATCTCCTATGTTGGTTCTCCTGATTAAGACATCTAAAAATGGGATTTTGTTATCTAATTCTTCTTCTCTTTGTGAATTAATTGCAAATCATCCACCTGAGCTAAAAATCTTCTCTATTATTTCAAGATTTAATAATATTTACTTGAAGTGAAGACATTTCATTTCACACCATTTGGCAAAAGAGGCAGGCAGCGAAGAGTGAACTTCAAGTGAATATACGGAAGACAGAGGTGATGAATTAACGTCACTGGCCAACAACACCCATAAACGCCAATCACTGTCAACATTAGAAACTTGAAAGAGGTTACTTCTTATTTTTTATATAGGCAGAATCCTTTCAACTACAGGCGAATTTTATGAGTCAGGATCAGAAGAACAAGACAGGCATTCATCACTCTGAAATCACCATGGAAACATCCTACATAGAGCATAAAGAACAAATCTATATTTTCCACACCAATATTAAATCAATTTTTCTATATAGTTCAGAGACTTCGTGCATCACGAAAAGCTCCAGCAACAGCAACTTGGATGTCACCAGGTTACCAGGAGAGATGATTAATAAACTCGTGGAGAAATCTAAAAGCTCACTTCAATGAATTGAAGTATGCGCTGAAGATGTCGCCTAGTAGGGTGATGAAAGCTTCGCAAATTAACTATCCAGCTCAGAGAACACAACCACATCAAAAAGAAATACATTCAACTCCAGTTAAGTGATGAATGTTATTATTCTATGGTTTCTGTTATCAATTGCTTTCCCTACACTGAGATTCGCTAGATAGGTAGAGATAAACTTTCTTTGATAAGAAATG